GGTGAGTGAGGGTTTAAAGATTTTCACAAACCCAGTGCAGGCTAATATTGCCCGGGTATTAGGCAGGAGATGAGATGTGGTTAAGAACTTCCATCCTATGTGAGCTATGATTTAAGCATGGAGAACAATAAAAATTACACAGGGCCCACGAGCATGGGTGAAGATTATGTGTTAGTAATCTCAAATCTTAGCTAGGATTGAAGTGATTGGAGCTCTTGTGTCTCTCCAGTTAAGCCAAGGCCTAAAAGTAATAGGATTTAGAATATTTGAGTAAGAATTCATGTGACAAGTTGACTTGATGACCTAGGAGAAGAGAATGGCATGTTTCAGAACAGACACCAGGCTGGAAACACCCTAAACCTCCTCACCTACCATCTTACTCTTCAGTTTGGGCCATCCTTAGGCTGAGGACCAATCTACATTTAGCAGAGTCACATGAAGAATATAGCCTTCCAGAAAGTCAGATTGAGAGCAGTGTGTGACGAGTTCTTCTCTCTCAGCACACCATTCTCCCTAGGGATGGGACGCACTTCAATCAGTTCACACAGAGGTGGGTTTCATGACTTGGCTAATGTCATAGACCCTAATCTGTCCAGAGAGATGTAATCAAAAAGTTTTCTTTCTGAATAACTAATGTTGAATACTAAACATAGACCATGTAGTCACCCACTTCTGTTTCCTGATGAAGTTTGCTCGACTTTAAACAGTTTATAGTAAGGCGTAAGAGATGGACATTCACTCAGTTTACCACCTCAATAAGAGTTTTGTGAAGAGGACAAAGAAATGGACAGAGCCCACTTGTGGGTATAGGATTATTACCTCAGAGCATGTGAGGAGATGGATGCCTCACCTCAACGAGTGCTCGCAGGAACCACATTTGTTTTGGGTGTCAAATGACTCCTTAAGCATGATCGTCTCAGCTCAGTTCAGGAAAGATGCTCTCATCCACATTGCTCTGTATTTGCAAACTCCATTGATTCATCTATGAGTCCTTGAGCAAATAAAGTGAGATCGTATTTATAAATCACTAAATACATCACGGGGAATGTGACAGATATGCAGTAAATAGCTGCTACACTGGGCTGAGATGTAAGGGAAAATTTCGTAGAGAAAACAGGTCTCACATAAGTCCAGGAAGGATTCTTCAGAAACATGCATCATACAGTGAGTTTTCTTGAATATCAGTAACACATCACAGCATCGTGAAGATTATAACTTTCTCTTCCAGCAGCACATTCTTCCCTTTGGCATGGTAAGTCCCGAATACTGAAGAATTACATAGTACTTTAGAGAACAATGAGACATTTCTGGAACTCTTAGAAAAAGTGGTTGTTGCTAACACAATGTGTATTTGACCATGTAAGTCAATGATAGAAAAGAAGGATTTTAGCAATGTGTTCGGTCTGACCCACATGCACAGCAAAATGTCATGCTCAAAGCTTTCCCTGACCAGGAATTTTCTCTCTTTACCTTGAGTCATTCCATGCTGTAATAACTAGCCAGGATCATTACCAACAAAAGTATCGAGGAGAGATTTTCAATGCATGCTTTTCTCTCAGTCTTGTCATGTTTGGTGACATGATTCCACCTAACAATTGATTCGTTCTATATTTCCCCTGGATGTATTATGGCATGCAACATCAGCCACTGGGTGTTCTAAAAGATCTGCTACATGTAGAGTAAAATGATTCATGAAGGACTGTTCACAGCTTGTTCTAGGTGGTCCCAAATTGATGACAAGAACAGGAAAGATTTCTCTGTTATCTCAGCGAATTCAAGGTACAATCAAGGCTTTGAAATACAAACTTTCTAAGATATTACAGAAAAAACACAGCTTTCCTGGAACGCTTTCTCTGGGTCACTGTGATAAAATCTAGTCCCAAGCCACAAAGCCCTTTATTTTTTCTGCTTCTTTTAAAATTTAGAGATGGGAGTCTTACCGTGTTGCCCAGGCTGGAGTGCAGTGTCTATTCAGAGGTGTGATTACATTGCATTACATCTTTGAACTCCCGAGGAACTCCTGAAGGATCAAAGTAATCCTTCTATTTTAGCCTTCTAAGTAGCTGGGACTTTAGGCATGCACCACCATGCCAGCAAAGCCTATCTTATGCACTAATGTCAGCTCTTCAGAGAAAAAAAATCCCTAGAGTAACTAATGCCCATTTTTCTTAATAGGATAGCATCTGGGTCTCTCCAGAGCATAATTTCACCTGGAAAAGTAGACCTTGTTTTAGGCATTTTATTTTGCCTAATCTGTTCAATAGAAACAGATATTTACAGCCTGAGCAACATGGTAAAACCCCATCTCCCACCCGCCACCAACAACAACAAAAAAAAGCCAAGTATGTTGGTGCATGCCTTTACACCCAGCTATTTGAGGCGCTGAGGCAGGAGGATTGCTTTAGCCTAAGAGGCCACGGCTGCAGTGAGCAGTGATCATGCCACTGCACTCCAGCCTGGGTGACAGAGCAAGACTCTGTCTCAGAAAAAAAAAGAGAAAAAAGAAACGTTTTTTTCATCTGTTTGTCCGTAATTCAAGTATGCAGAGAAACTAAATTAAGTCTGTTCAATACCCATGTTTTTAAAAATAATTCTTTTGTACAGATGCATTAATGTGTGGTAAACAATGAAGAAATATTATCTGTCACTCAATCACTAAACCGCTGGTCCCATGGCGAGGCACACTTTATCTCTCAGTGTTGTTCTTCATTGTGAATGTCATTGATCTAGAAGACGTCGTTGTAGGAGTGTAGGCTTGGCTCTCATGAGGTTCCCACCTGCCTTCAAGGGAAAACTGGGAAGCAGAGTCAAGTCTCGGCCACCTATTTCAGTTCTAAGCAGTTTTTGATGTGTCTTGTGTCTTCTTATGGTTTTACTCTTCTGCTTTTGTGTTCATAAATGTCATATCAGCAATGCTTTCCACAGAAACCACATCAAAAAGAATGTTCCCATAAAATGGTCTTCATTTCTTCCCAAGACAATCTTATTAGGAGTAGAGAAGATGCATTCTCATTGATTAAAATACTTCACTTCTTAGGGAAAAATGGTTAGTAATCTAATCTTTCAGTTGTCGTAGTTAATAAATATAATTGTATATCTAATCCAACATCAGTTTTATTTTATGCTTCCTAAGATAACATGACAGAAATATTATTCAAGAAAATTCCTGCTTACAACATAAAATGAATTTATCAATATCCATATCAGTATAACTGACACACTAAACATCAGCATTCATTCTAAACACAGGTGGGTTTATTTTATTATTTTTAGAGTACCTAGGAAGGCAAGATGATGAAAGGAGCATCAATGATAGCAGAAACTATGAGGCTAACGGTACCAATGGAAGGAATAAATGATAATAGTCATGTGAGTCCAAGACACAGGAGAACCCTATAGACACTGGAGACTGTGGGCTTGGCTGGGTACTTCATACCACACAGCTGGCTGAAGTTCTGTCTGAAATTTAGATGTATGTGCCTTACTCCAAAGCATATCTCTAAAAATAATTTAAGTTTAAAGACTCAATACTTACTAAGCCTAGTGACCACTGTTTCTGTTATACACTAAACAAGAAAATAATAAAAAGTGGTCAGAGAAGAAAAAATAAATCAATAAAAAATAAATAAGTAAATAATAAGTGGTCAGAAAAGACCTCTTGAGAGAGCAGGGACCAAGGAGGGCCTCACAGGTCAGGTAAAATTTGGTTCTAGAGAAAAAAAAAGTAGAAAATTCTTCTGGATGAAGAATGGGTCAGTGTGAGTGTCTGGATTTTGGTGTGTGTGATATATATGAGTCTTATTAAACATGAACTTGTCAATTGTCTAAATTGAACAACAGCGCTACTGACCACAGAAAGAGTATAAATCATCCAGACTAGGAAATATGGGTGTAGAATGTCCTAATCCAGAGCACTGGCTTCAAATTCTGACTTGTCATATACTAGCAGTGGGACATTTGGAGGACGCTACTTGTGGCCAAAACTCAGTTTTCTCATCTATGAAGCACGCGTAAAAATCAAATGGGCCTTGTATGGCTCATTCGGAGATTAAATGAGGCAATAATTTAATCATCTTAACCTTGTCTCCAGCTTGTAGTAAAACCTCAGTGATTGTAGATAGTAGTCAAGAGACAGCAAAAATAGTCTTCCTCACCTTGCCCCATGAATGGACTTCAAAATTTAGTATCCAGTTTCTGTTTCTCTCTCCTTGCCAAGAGAAGGCTTGCACACTCACTATCGTGCATGTTCTATTTCTGTGGCAATGTCACCCTGACCTGCTCCATCTCTTAATTCTTCAGGTATTTCTATGCTATCAATTCTACTTTCCCTCCTTCAAAGGGTTACTGAAACACCAGGGGTTTGGTCTAGGCCCTGCTGCTGGCCACACAGAAAGCCAACGACTGAGATGCTGAGTATTGCCAAGGAAGAAGGCTTTAATTTTTTCTTTTGTTTTTTTTTGAGATGGAGTCTCCCTTTGTTTCCCAGGCTAGAGTGTAGTGGCGTGATCTTGGCTCACTTCAACTTCTGCCTCCTGGGTTCAAAGAATTCTCTGCCTCAGCCTCCTGAGTGCCTGGGATTGCAGGCACCTGCCACCACAGCCGATTATTATTATTTATTATTATTATTTGGTATTTTTAGTAGAGACAGGGTTTCACCATCTTGGCCAGATTGGTCTTGAACTCCTGACCTCATGATCCACCCACCTCGGCCTCCCAACATACTGGGATTACAGGTGTGAGCCACTGTGCCCGGCCTGGAAGAAGGCTTTAATCGAATGTTGCAGCCAAGGAGATAGGAGCTCAGTTTTAAATTCATCTCTCTGATAGACTAAAACTAGGGGTTTATATAACAGGGCAAAAATGTAACAATGAGTCAGAAAATAGGAACTAAGGTGGGAGAAGGAAGGAATCATAATGAATGAAGGGTCTGGCCTCTCATCGCGTGGAGGGGTTGTAGTGATCTGGTGGGTTTCCATTTTTGATACTTTTTTTTGAGAGGCCTGAAGGTCTTTTCCTGAGGAACGAACTCAGATAAAACAAATATAAGTTTCAGGCTTTAAGACCAGAAGGGTCAATTCCTACAGTTTAAAAAAAAAATAACCTGTCTGTGGGACAGTTTGGTTGGTTTCAAAGGCTGTTCTCCAAAATCCTCCTCTTGTTATCTATTCATTCCAACATCTTTCCAAGGATTCTCTCAAGTGTCATCTATTCTTTGAAATCTCCCTTGATACATTAGGAAGAACTAGGTGCTTTACATGATAGCTATAACCTTAAATAGTACCCTGACAAACTACCATCAAGGCAAGCAGTCACTTCCATGAAAATCATACTAGTGTATGGATAAAGGATCTTGATGCTGCAGACCAGTGATTACTCCACTTGTACCCCATAACTAACCAGAGGTATTATTCTAATAAGTGTTTGCCATGTTATTTGAAGGTAGGATTAAAAAATAATTCTCTATATCTCAAGCACCTTTTACAGATACTTATTATTTCCTAGGGGCACACCTACACATCTGTGGTAGCAGAAATGATTTCTTAAGAAATGTGTATCTGGCAGACAGGCACATTTACTGATTTATTCATTCTGTGTTCTATTAATTTCTTTAAGTAATATTTAGTAACTTTTTTATGCAAATATAGTACAGTCTTTGGGATAGCAATATGAATACCATGTGGTAACTCATATCAAACAGCCAAATGACCAGGGGGCAGCGGAAATATGCAGTTACCCAGGCAGTTGCATATAGAGCGCAAGGGCTGTAAAAGAGACACACTCAGTGTCCTTGAGCCCACAGACGATGAGATTTTAAACAACATTCCAAGACAAGATTATGTTTGAGCTGAAATTCAAAGGATGACTATAAATAACAAATTAAATAAGTAGGAAATGTATTCCAGGCAGAGTAAACTGCACATACATCTAAAAAGAGAACATAAACTATTAAAATAACTGCAAATAGGCTAGCATAAATGAAGCCAAAAGTTTAGAAGGCAGTGGAGAGAAATCACTTACGAAATTGACCCAGGGGTACTATCCCTTCCTCTGTTTCTTTCCTACCCTTTCCTTGATGGGCCCACATACAATCATACCTCACTTAATGACAAGGATATGTGATAATAAATACATCATTAGGCAGTTTTGTTGTGTTAACATCACAGAGTGTACTTATACAAACCCAGATAGTATAGCACTTAGGCTATTCAGTTTAGCCTATTGCTCCTAGGATTGCATGTTACTATCCTGAATACGTGGGCAGTTGGAACACAATGCTGAGTTTTTGTGTGTCTAAACATAGAAAAAGTACAGTAAAAATACAGGATCATGAACTTAGGAGATCATCATCATATGTGCATTCGATATTGACTGAAAAGTTGGCCATTATGCAGCACATGACGGTGCTGAGTTTAGAATACAAGAAGTGGAAGATGGATGGTTTTCCTGTAGTTCAAAAAAGTCAGTAGATAGGAGATAATTTCGAAATCACTAGCATATAGATGGCTGTTGTAGAATTAGGAATACACGAAGTTGTCCAGGAGAATATGCAAATTGGGTACAAATATGAGGCTAAAGAGTAAGAAAACATTAACATTTAAAAGGCATGCAGCAGAACAGTCTCCCATAAAGAGGATTGAAAGAGCTACGTAGAGGTAGGAGGAAAATCGGCATTGTGACATGGAAGCCAGGGTCTGTCAGGCGGTGTTGGAAAAAAACAGCCATTACAGTGTCACCTACCAGAATTCTACTCTTTCCATGCAATTTCCATGTGGAGTCACCTTTTTAGGGATATGGAAACCCTCAGGACTGTCATGCCACTGTGGTATGACATTTATTATATTCAAAAAGTTATCTTATACATTTTATTGGGTTTTATAAGATTCCAATAGGGTTCTAAAGCAAAATTTGAGTGATGGACTCTAAATTAAGAGTCCACATCAGATATATTTCCCTATGGGGTCATGCAATACACATGATAGTATTTTAATCCTTTGTATTTTATTTCCATTCTAAATAAAGACAGGTCAATGAGTTCAATAGTTATATGTTGTGCTATGTGAGTTTTCAGTGTTCTAACAGAATCTCCAGTGGGAGGCAAATTAATGACTTAATATTACTTAGAAGACCTTTCTTAAAATATAAGTATTCTTAATAATACACACGCAAACACATGCTCACACGTGCGTGCATGTGCACACATGCAAACTTTAAAGGTTTGATGTAGATGTACCTTTTCACCTCTCTATAGAAAAGTATGTTAATCTTTTTATTCCATGATTTTTCAAATACATTTTTCTAAAATTTACTACTTAAAAAAAACCATAACTTCCTCTTTCCTTATTTCATAAATTACCTAATCATGTGTCTGGTGGAATAAGGACTTGTAACTGCAGCAGCAGCTGGAAATCTAGTTCTCATCTACTTCCTCTCACTTCTGCATAAGATGGATAATAAAACCAGACTGGAAAATATAATTAGATAACATTTGTATTTGAAACACTTTAGTTTTACAAATTATATATATATATATAAAGTTTTCCCCCTAATTTAAATTTTTTGAAGAGAATTTATCTTTCTTAACCTTTGCTGCTAGGTATATGGCACTATCTTAGTTTATTTTTTCTTGCTTTAAGAGACTATCTGAGACTGGGTAATTTATAAAGAAAAGAGATGTATTTACCTAATTGGCTCTGCAGCCTGGAAGTTCACGGGCATGGAGCTGTCATCTGCTGGGATTCTCGTGAGGGCCTTAGGCTGCTTCCACTCATGGCGGAACACTGAAAGCTGAAGCAGAGCCAAGGTGTGCAAACACATTGGGAGGGAGGGAGCCACGCTGGAGAAGCAGAGGAAGCCAGAATCCTTAACAACCTCCTCCTGAGGGACCAAACCCATTTCACACACTCTCACTCCTGAGACAGGGCATTACGTATTTATGAGTGGTCTGCTCTCAGGACCCAGACACCTCACTAGGCTCCACTGCCCAACACTATCATATTGGCAAACGATTTGGTGGGGACAGATTATATCCGAACCATAGCAGTCACCAATAAAATAAAAAATACTTTTATTTTGTTTCATTGTTATTATATTTTTTTTGAGACAGAGTCTTGTTCTGTCGCCAGGCGCCAGGCTGGAGTACAGTGGCGCAGCCACGACTCACTGCAACCTCCACCCCCTGGGTTCAAGCAATTCTCCTGCCTCAGCCTCCCAAGTAGCTGGGACTACAGGTGCATGCCACCACGCCCAGCTAATTTTTGTATTTTTAGTAGAGACGGGGTTTCACCACGTTGGCCAGGATGGTCTGGATCTCTTGACCTCGTTATCCACCCGCCTCAGCCTCCCAAAGGGCTGGGATTACAGGCATGAGCCACCGTGCCCATCTAAAAATACTTTTAAAATAATGAAAATGTTAGATGCTTGCATATTACTATTTTTTTCTATTTGAGAAAAAAAGAATTTAAATGTTGGATTTCAGTTATATTTGGAAAATATACCCTTTTTTTCAGACTGCTAACAAGTGATTTGTTTGTACCCCCCACCCCCCAAAACACACACAGACAAACACTGTTTTTCTTTCTCTCCAGAGATCTATTCAGTACACATTTTGGCAATGGATCCAAAATAATGAATTCTTACCCTTTAAGCCATTAGTATCACTTTGGAAATGAGTAAATCATACATTAATGTTTTACATTGGTATTTATGTTATTTTATGCCTGTATAATAATGTCCATAGTGTATGGATTTACTTCCCAGTTGAATTTAAAAATTAGAGGAAAAAATGCTTTCCTATGCATAAACTCTTTACAGATAATAAAGCAATTGTCTATGCATTATTTCACTTGGTCTTGAAAATCTAGGATAGGTTTGCTTTTGCACCAGTTTTCTAAGTAAGGAAACTGAGATTTGGTAAAAAATGAGCTGCCTGATGCATGTCAGGATGTGGCACAGATGTAGCACCTCAGGAAGCAACTTTTGGATTCAAGATTAATGGTAGAGTGCTGGAGCTCTAACAGGTTGGAGTTTTATAATCAGAAAACAGTAAGATGTGAAGGCTGAGTCTGCTTTTCATCACTGGCCAAGTTACATGTTTTCCCTGTTAGAAATGTTGGTTCATTCAGTCTTGATTTTTTTATTTGTAAAGCAATAATAATACCTTTACTCCAGTAGGTAAGAATTTTATGAGATAAAATGATGAAGTCAATGAAAAATGCCTGGTACAATGCCTGGTACATACAAATGTAAGAAATATATAGTTGGTTCCATCCCTTATTTTTATTTCACAATAGTTAGTGGAAGGGATTAAAGGGCTGACCAAGAAAAAAGGGATAACCACCAGGTGGTGGAAGAACACAATTAAGTTAATTTAGGTGACGCTTTGACAGGTTTCTCTGTAGGGGAGTCCCTCACAGCATGAGAACCATGCAGGGGCCGCCACCTAGAAGAAGAAGGGACCAAGAGAATTCTCAGAAAAAATGAGGATTGAAGAGGGGGCTCACATGTCTAGGTGGTATCACTTAATTTCCCAGGAGGAATCTCTATGGCAGAGGGCTCTGACAGGCAGCATGTGGTCTATTCAAACCTGGGGTTTATCTAATCTATGGCTAATAGAGGTTGGTACGTTTTGTGTAGTATGCAAAACAAGTGGGCTGTAAATGGCTGAAAATCTGTTTATTCGGGTTGTATTTTAAACAACTGAATGTTTAAAAAGTTAGGTTTGGTGCCAGCAGGATTATGAGTTAACAGATATTGGCTTCCTGGGAAGAAGTAAGCAACATAGGACCAATAAACAGATACCATCTTTGCCTCATATATATGTATATGAAGTTTACATTTTGATTTGTATGTATATATACGTATGGTTATCTATATGTGCATATATTATTTCCATCTGCAATTGATTTATATGCTTTATAATGGAAAAAATACAATAATATGGCTCAATAAAATAAGCAATACAAAGTAAGGATGACAGTGAACATGTATTAGGGGTTCATATACAAAAACTAAAAATCTCACATGTTGACCTTTATTTCTATTAGTAAAAATAAATTGATTAAAACTGAGGCTAGGAGTGGCGAC